GTTATTTAAGATGCTCTGAAGTTAGTGTAGCTTTAGGTTCACTTTGCCATCAGACTGGTAAATGTCCACAAGTCAACATTCTTAACAGTTTACAACACGATTCATTTAACAATTCTGGATAAGAGGTTTCTGTGCCTGCAGCAGTTGAAGTCAGGTTTTGAAGCAATATGATGCATATAAATGTTTCTTTTCAGGAATATCCGATTGTTGTGTTGGAGAAACCTTTATAATCTGCTGTATTCCATTTCAGTCTCTGATAGCTCCAATCATTGGAGGATTTACTTAGGGTTGATATCCAGAGATATTTATGTATATAAAATAAAGCAGGAACACATTCCCATATCTATCTCAAACTTTGCAATATTAAGTGTTTTTTTGAGGAATTTATGCTCTCTTATGCATTTTGTAGTTTCATCATCCTTTCATCTCCCCACTGCCAAGTTTACTTTTATTTGCAAATATGGTTTGATGCTGTAATGCTGCATTAATTAGCATTTCAACTCATTTTCTGTTTGGATTAAACCCTGAGTGTTTTTATAAAGTTCTGAGCCCTTTCCCATAAAAAAAAAATCATTCCTGCTGATGTTTTTGTCACTAATGGGCAAATTCTAAGGCAGCATCACATTATATGCTTTAAGGATAAAGTAATCCCAGAATGCACTGCAACAAGTTCAATGAAAAAAAATGTGAAAAAGATGGCAGATGGAGTCGAGTGTAACAATAACTATATTTATTTCCTTAAATACTGAAAAGTATTGATAAAAAAAGATAAAAATCCATTTGAATCAAACCACCTAATTAAATATTCAAGGTCAATAATAAGGTCATATTCAGTGCAATTACACATTGAATTGCTATTCTGTGTGTACAAATACTGTAAGTGGCTGAAAACACTTGTTTGTGAGTTTACCACTTAACAGCGGCCAGAACAGATGGATGCCATGATCTGTGTGCCCCAGCGTCCTCCTACACACTAAAAGTAATGGCAAAAATGTCTGGGAAAAGTTTGTTTTGTGCTTTAGCATCATTTCTTTTCTAATGGTGCTTCTTTTTGTTATCTAATGCTATGACTTTCATGCATTTTTAAGCGTGACTGAAGTGTCCAAATAGTATTTGGTGCTACTACACATACAAAATGCACAATGTTGCAGTGATTTGTCCTCTTGCCGCCATTTATAATGAATGGCAAGCTGTCTTTACTAATATCTGTTATAATGGATTCAGCTCCTCAGGAAGCAAGCATACAGTACCTGTTTACTGCAAGTGCAGTCTTGGTTAAAAATTCACTTTGCATAAGCAAACATGCCGTTTTTGCCTGTATTGGGAGGCAAAACTGGAAGTTTTCCACTGTATTATTCATTTTTTCTTTCATCCATCTTCAGGGCAATATAAAAGCTTGCGCCTGCTAGAATTGCTTATGAAATAGAATTGCTTTGGGTGCAAAGTTGTTTAGGCCATGTTGTCAGAGGGTACCATGGTGCTTATAATGTGAAATCACATGTGTAGCACCATGATAAGTTTATACTGTAACATTTCAATTCTCTCTTTGTATGTTGTTTTTTTTTTTTATTTGCATTTGCATTTGCACACCACAGTTAATGAAGTGACGTGTTACTAACTAACTGACTGCAAAAGATCCTGGATATCATCCAGATTGCCAGCATAATGCAGATGTGAAGTGGTTAGCTGAATACTTTCTCACTTGCACGCGCACACACACTCACGCACAAATGCTGATTACACATACAGAGACTAATTAAGTGTTCTATTGGAAAGGTTCCTGTCATATTGAGAATATTGCATCAAAGGTCATATATTGACATGCTTGATGTTGTCTTCTCATAGACTCGGTTGGTTTACTGCTTTGCACATCCAGTTTTATGTGCCTTACTTCATAACCATTCACTTTTTTCATTCACTTGTTTTGTTTTTATATAGACATTTTAAATATTTTTCACTTTTTTTTTTACATTTGCGTTGTGGGAATGAAAAGTGATTTAATTCGAGATAAGGAATTGGAACAGTGAATGGATTTATGTTTCTTCTTGTCTTCCCAAGAGAGAACCATTTTATATTACTGAAGTTATGATTGTGTTTTAGCCCAGGGAAAATGTGAGGAACACTTTCTGTCCAATACTCTGAGATTTAGTGGCTTGTATTCAAAATCTTATCACAAAAACGAACATTTTCTCTCTTCCAAATGTTACTGACTTGCAGCACCAATGTGCGAAACCATGAATCGCTTGGCATACGGAAGGGTGAACACTGGCACGCAAGCAAAAACAGAGAGAGGAATATTGTATGATTGAAATTTTACTCAGTGGCTTGTTTTAGAAATGTTGAAGTCAGCATGCAGACTTAACACCTGCCAAGTGGCAAATGCAAGTGAAAACTGGCTATGACATTATAAATGCATTACATTATGTAATCTGAATTGTAATGATAGTCTGACCCTTTCTGAAATAAGTGATGTATGTGATTCAAAAATCAAGATTAATATTGGGAGATCCAGCTAGTTATTTAAGATGCTCTGAAGTTAGTGTAGCTTTAGGTTCACTTTGCCATCAGACTGGTAAATGTCCACAAGTCAACATTCTTAACAGTTTACAACACGATTCATTTAACAATTCTGGATAAGAGGTTTCTGTGCCTGCAGCAGTTGAAGTCAGGTTTTGAAGCAATATGATGCATATAAATGTTTCTTTTCAGGAATATCCGATTGTTGTGTTGGAGAAACCTTTATAATCTGCTGTATTCCATTTCAGTCTCTGATAGCTCCAATCATTGGAGGATTTACTTAGGGTTGATATCCAGAGATATTTATGTATATAAAATAAAGCAGGAACACATTCCCATATCTATCTCAAACTTTGCAATATTAAGTGTTTTTTTGAGGAATTTATGCTCTCTTATGCATTTTGTAGTTTCATCATCCTTTCATCTCCCCACTGCCAAGTTTACTTTTATTTGCAAATATGGTTTGATGCTGTAATGCTGCATTAATTAGCATTTCAACTCATTTTCTGTTTGGATTAAACCCTGAGTGTTTTTATAAAGTTCTGAGCCCTTTCCCATAAAAAAAAAATCATTCCTGCTGATGTTTTTGTCACTAATACAGTTATTTCAGTTGCAACCTGGGTGATCTCAGACAACAACAACAACAAAAAAATAATAATAATAAATCCAAAAGGAATGTGTAAGGATTCTCTCCCCACTGCCAAGTTTACTTTTATTTGCAAATATGGTTTGATGCTGTAATGCTGCATTAATTAGCATTTCAACTCATTTTCTGTTTGGATTAACCCTGAGTGTTTTTTTTAAGTTCTGAGCCCTTTCCCATAAAAAAAAAATCATTCCTGCTGATGTTTTTGTCACTAATACAGTTATTTCAGTTGCAACCTGGGTGATCTCAGACAACAACAACAACAAAAAAAAAATAATAATAAATCCAAAAGGAATGTGTAAGGATTCTCTTTGGAATCAATCATAATGGGAACTGTGTTCTAAAAGAACAAGTTTTTATTTTACTCAAAACCCAAATCTATCCTTTACACTATTCTATAAAAAGCCAAAAATCCCTGTATAGGGATTCAGTTTATCCAGTGAATTCCCATTGGGATCCTTCAGGATTATCATAGAAAGTCGGATTGAAATTCCTTATTTTTTGGACCTCACACAAACATGTTTCTTTCTCTCTTTATTTTTCTTGAGGTAGTCTCACCTGTCACATAATTGATGTTATAGAGCTGTTGTTGACCAACATTGAGCCGAGGGGAGCGCCGTCACTGCGGCTCTGACCGTGAGCCCGTCTCTCGTACTGATCAGCCGCTTTCTTTACGGCACTGGGGGCGAGAGCTACACTGCTCCTGTAGATATCTGTAGGAGAGTAAAACAATAGGAGGGAGAGCAAGCAGCAGATATGAAAGATAATGACAGTCAGACAATGGCTGCTCTGTTTAAAAGGCAATTGTTTTTCCGAGAGCTGCACATTAATACCATTATATCAGAGTTAATGAAATGACTCATCATTGTTTCTCCTCTCAAGTTTTTTTTTTTCTTTTACATTCTATTCAGACCTTTGCTAGCATCTGGAATGTTTAATCTGTTTGTAGGAGAGTTTTAAATTAAATTAATGTACTCATTACAACAGGATTGCTGGTTATCAATTTTAAAGAAATGTCCAGGGTTCAATCAAGTTAAGCTTGATTTATGTCTTTTACAAACTGCAGGGTGAATCTAAATTAATTTCTGTGAAATCAGCAGCAGGCCACATTGTCTATATTGAACCCGGAACATTCCATTAACCATTATGAACTACAGTATGATTAATGAGAACGTTTCGAGGAAGGTGTTTGTGAACAGCATTATTATTACGACGCATCAATATGGCAAGGGCATTTTCCCCATTCTCAACACTTTTAACACATGATCATAAACATTATTGTTTCTTTTGCATTATTTCTACTGGCACTTAATTCCACAATAGTATGTACTGTACAGGTTATGCATCTTATTGCGAGGAACTACAGTACTTCTGATTTCTACTGATTCTTTTGGTCATTTAGATCTTGTAACACAAACGACAGATACAGTCAAAACCTCATCATATTCTAGGGATGTGGTTAAAAACAAATCCCAGGTATTTTCCTATGGGGAAAATAAGAAATAGATGTGGTTACTTTCAGAAAAGAAACAAACAAAAACAAAAAACACAATACATAATTTATAGGAAAACTCCAAAAAAAACAATTGTTGACATACAGTAAGAGTGTAAGAGCTCTACAATTACACAGTGCAGACTATTTGATCTGGAGAGAATTTTGGTGTCTAGGGAAAACTGTTCTCATTTGTGATATTTTATTTTTATTTTTTTACCATTGCTCTCCACAATTTATGTAACTACATTTTTCACACACAGTACTAACACAGTGATCTGCAGGGTATAAAAGTATAATTTCGATGTTTTTCCTTCCTCACCCTCAGTTCTTTGTCTCTTGCAGTGAATCTGTCTGTGTTGACGACAGCATGCAGCAGTCACTATGGAAATGCCATTGAGGAGTTCTGCCTGGCCAAGTTCAAGCTGGACATGGAGGTTCTCGATCAGCGCCAGTGGTGCAGCTGGGAGGACACAGTTGAGTGAGTGATAAACATGCCACTTCTAGGCTTTATTATATCATTGGTAATTCTTAACTGACATATGCTCCATGGACATTAATTATTGTCAAAGTAGGTTTATTGTCATTTTCTTTCCTGTGTGGTTGGAGAGGAAACCGAATACAGTGACGGTGATCCTAAAGAGCAGAACATGCCTATATTTTATAACTTTGTATTTATCAAAGAATTCTTCAAATGTGTCATGGTTTCCACAAAAATATTAAGCCGCACAACTGTTTTTAATTGTGATAATAAGAAATGTTTCTTGAGCACTAATTAGCATATCAGAATAATTTCCGAAGGATTATGTGATACTGAAGACTGGAGTAATAGCTGCTGAAATTTCAGCTTTGTCATCACAGGATTGAATTATATTTTAAAATGTATTAAAATAGAAAACAGCTATTTTAAATATTTCACAATATTACAGTATTCACTTTGTTTGAGCATAAAAGACCTCTTTCAAACACAAAAAAATGACTGACCCCCAACTTCTCCTACACATTTCACATCACACACAGGTTAGTTCAGCACTCATTCAACAACTTTTGTTCAGTGCAATCCTACCTTGCAGCTGACACGACTGCGTGTTTATTTGAACACTTCATGACAAGGTCAGTGAAGAGCAGAGTTTTCTCAGTAAGAGAGATGACAGGGGTTCCCATATTATCACATACTTCAGAGGGATTTAGTGTGCCATGTGGCACAGCTCCAGGCGTACACCGTTCCTGGGAATGCCTTAATATGCCCAGCTGTCTCTGTGACATAATGGAGGAGGTTATTCGTGGTGCCCCAGAAAACACATGATATGGAAGAACTTTCACATTTCCAGGTTAACAAGAAGAACTGTCTTGTCTTTACTTTTGTGTCCTTGACAACTGACCCTAAAAACTCTGCCACTCTGACGTTAGACTGAAGCCGTCACGCTCCAGTGCAACATTCGAGAAAGATAGAGTTGAGAAAAGTGACACTGGATGTCTAAGCTGTCGGATCAGGGCCAGCAAGGTCTGCCAGTCCCTGTCATCAACACTCCAAGCACTTTTTGTCCCATGTGGCCCAACTCGTTTCTATTGTAGCTCGTGCCAAGGTGCAAAATGCTGACTGTGTTTTATGGTGCTTAAAGTGATAGTTCGCCCAAAATTGAAAACATTTCCATCCTTTACCAACCCTCATGTTGTTCCAATGACTTTATTTCTTCTATGGAACATAAAAGATATTTTGAATACAATTTTTTTTTTGTCCATACAATGGAGGTCAATGGTAATCAAAACTTTTTGGTTACCAACATTCTTCCAAATATCTTTTGTGCTCCACAGAAGAAAGTCATACAGGTTTGGAACAACATGAAAGTGATTAAATTATGATATTTACATCACTTTTCTTTTTTTCTTTATAATAAAGTGAGGCACTTATAATGGAAGTGAATGGGGGCCAATTACTGAAGGATTTAAAAGCACAAGACATTTGAAGCTTAATAATTTTATAAAAGCACTTACATTGATTATTTTTGTTAAAATGTGTGTATTATTTTAGTAGGGTGACCATACGTGCCATTTTCCCAGGACGCGTCCTGGCCAGGATTTGTTTTGGCTTTGTTTTCCTGTTTTCATGCTTGCTGAAGGTAATGATCGAAAAGTAGTTTGACCAATAACATGCAAGCATTGTACATAATGGACCAATCATGGCATTTTAGTGTTTGAAGCATTCATTGTCATGGCAACATAGTTGTGAAATTAGATGCAGCTTCACACAGAAAAGATTACAAACCATTTTTCACACACAAAAAAAATGTATAGTGTATAGTGTTATATTGTATAGTGTTAACATATTGTTTATCTATTGAATATTTGAACTTTACATTCACTTTCATTGTAAGTGCTTCACTGTAACCCAGATTTTTGCTTTACTCAGCTGGAATGATTATCTGAGCAAAATGGTCTCCGTGTTCATTAACAAAATTGCTGGTGCGTTTGTTGTTAGTCAGATCAAAATCTCAGAATGTTGCCCTAAGGTTGCAAATAAAAAGGATTGTGTTCAGGAGGACGATTGATTCCTGTGGGCGTTGTTAAACTGAGCTGTCATTTATGACACAAAATGATTATTCATATCGCCTGCTTGACTGAATATGTCAACTATATTAAAAGCAGATTCCCTTTAGACAGTGAGTCATAGATTGTGCTAACTGTGTATAATGGTTTGTAGTAATAAACAGTGATGACCTTGATCTCTGGTATTTTATTTCATGCTTTTTTACATCAGAAGTGCTTCAGCCCACCAAACAAAATCAAAGCCTTAACATCCTGGCTAACAATGTTTTTCTGCCTTCATTTCTAAAGGATCAGGATGCGATTAAACCTCAATAACAAGCACAAATGTGAGTTGGCTGGCTTTATTTAATATATAGAGTACATCAATGATGATTGATTCCAACCTGCTTTAAATCAATAGAAAAAAATGCATGCCATAAATCTGTCATGACAGAAAGTGAACAATATTGCTTCCATTATTCAATGCAATCTTTTTTTAACAATCAAGTTAGACTCCAGGCTCAATTTGTCAGTCTTCGAGGAGAGTGGTTTTGCTCAAAGGTTGGGATCTTATAGGTCTCTAGGGATCTCATGGTGTTCTCAGATCTGGAAGCAGGTTCAAGTGCCCCGCACACCTGTGAAACAGCACTCATTAAAGTATGTATGGCCCCTCGGCTCCCTCCGTGAAGTCATCCAGCTCCATTGCTCAATTATGCACAAAGCACCGTCTAGAGACATCCACAGGTCTGAGATGAGGTCTGTGCAACACAGTAGAACAGCATGTGGCCTCCAGTGAGCCTCAGAAGTGGTGAGGTAAGACTTATCGAGCACTGAGGGCAGTCGACTGCAGGTAATTAAGGTTGTATACAAACGATCAGAGGAGGCCAGCACACTTGCACTTCAGCAAATTGTCTCACCTGGGCAATGGAGCATTAAACTGCTTCGGAGGGATCCGGCAATCTACAGACTAACACTTTTGCCCTTCCAGGGGTCATTCCTGTGAGTGTTGGTATGCTCATTAAGCTCCTCTTAAAGCACAGCCTGGGGGTGAAAAATGCTTGTATAATATTTATAAATTAAGATGGCAGGGCTGCTATTACAGTGGCATGTGAAAGTTTGGGATCCCATTGCAGAATCTGTGAAAATGTGAATAATTTTAACAAAATAAGAGAGATCATACAAAATGCATGTTATTTTTTATTTAGTACTGTCCTGAGTAAGATATTTTACATAAAAGATGTTTACATATAGTCCACAAGACAAAAAAATAGCTGAAAGTATTAAAATAACCCCCTTCAAAAGTCTGGGAACCCTTGGTTCTTAATACTGTGTGTGGTTACCTGGATGATCTACGACTGTTTTTGTTTGTTTTGTGATGGTTGTTCATGAGTTCCTTGTTTGTTCTGAACAGTTAAACTGAGCACAGAAAACTGGTTAAACTGTTTTTTCAGAAAAATCCTCCATGTCCTGCAGATTCTTGAGTTTTCCAGCATCTTTTGCATATTTGAACCCTTTCCAGCAGAGACTGTATAAGTTTGAGATCCATCTTTTCACACTGAGGACAATTGTGGGACTCAAACACAACTATTAAAAAAGGTTCAAACATTCCCTGATGCTCCAGAAGGAAACACAATGCATTAAGATGAAGGAGAATTTGAAGATCAAGGTAAATTGTACTTGATTTGTCTTCCGGGAAACATGCAAGTATCTTCTGTTGCTTCTGAAGGGCAGTACTAAATGGGAAAAAAATTATATTTCAACAAAATAAGAAAAATTTGGACATCTTCACCCTGTTCAAAAGTTTTTTACCCCCGGCTCTTATGGACCGTGTTTCTTTCTGGAGCATCAGTGAATGTTTGAGTCCCTCAATTGTCCTCAGTGTGAAAAGATGGATCTCAAAATCATACAGTCACTGCTGGAAAGAATAATGTGTTTTTTGAACCTTAAACTGCAAAAACACATTTCATTACGCCAAATACACAAAATAATGTTCTTTTTAGCAACATCATATGACCCCTTTAAGAACCAAGGGTTCTCAATCTTTTGAAGGGGGTTATTTTAATAATTTCAGCTTTTTTTTTTTGTCTTGTGGACTATATGTAAACATATTTTATGTAAAATATCTTACTCAGGACAGTACTAAATAAAAAGTAGCATTTTGTATGATCTCTCTTATTTTGTTAAAATTATTAACATTTTCACAGATTCTGCAAGGGGTTCCCAAACTTTCGCATGCCACTGTATAGGCAGGTGTTTGTCTAAAACATAATTTCCACTCCTCTGAAAAAATCTGATTAAAGAACAGATGTTCCTCCCCATGAAGTGTTTTGCTACTGATTTAACAAGCACAAAACAGATCCCAGCAGGTTTAATAAAGTCAAACCAAATCAAAGTGGAGACATTAACGGGAGATTTTGTTGTGGTTTTAGGTTATTGCAGGACATGATTTTAATAGAATAGTTAACCAAAAAATGAAAATTCATACCCTAATTTTGTTCCAAACCTAATTTTCCTTCTTCCATGGCACATAACAGATGTTTTGCTGATTTTTTTCCCCATACAATGACAGTGTACAGTAAGTACATCTAAAAAGACATAAAGTACATTAAAGACTTGTCTTGACGCTTCAAGTTTAAATATGCGCATGTACAAATAAGATTTGGGAATTATGACAGCAATATATTTATATCTTCATTTCTAACAACAGAAAACAAGTAGCTGAATGAAAACCTTAGTGATTTTTGTTGCTGTCAGTATCTAGTTAGCAAAGAAAGGAATGACTTTGTGCTTTATGGCTGGCATAATCTGCTAATGGTTACATGACAGTTCATGTTCTCCTGAACAGCTGAAAGGTATTTAGAAAGCGTCACTTCATGAATTTAAACTAAATTTTGACCAGCACATGTCTGGTCTGAATCTTTCAAATTTGCCTGCTGTTTGTAATCAGATTTCACT